TCTAACCCAATTGTTAGTAACAGTTACTGTAATACGAATATTACATAGATGATTATCCAAATTTTCACTGTCGATAGGATTTGAACACCTAATCTACCACTTGGAGGGTTGACAACCTGACCACTTTACTAGGTTACCACATCCTATGAAGCTTATTTACAATTCAATAAGTTAATAATATTATATAAAATAATAATAAATGCTAATGTTCTAATATATTTAAATTATTATAGTATATATTGTCAATATTTTTAGAAATATTTTAATTATAATTTAGAAGTCTATTTTGATTTTTATAAATTAAGTATTAAAGACAAAAATTATTTAAGTTTACTCTTTGTATTCTAAACAAATAACCAAAAACTTTTAATTAGTTGATAAATATAATTAAATTTATTATTTCTAATCTTGTTTATTAATAAATCTACTTACAAAATTATTTAAATTTATGATTAATAGTGCTAAGATTATTTCTAAAATAGTATATTGTTTAACATCAAAATATAATAAAAGAGTAAAAATAATAATTTAGATTATATAAATTTGCCAACACATTTAATAAAATAAAGATAACCATAATATGTTTTATTTTATATTCTATGTTTCTTTTATCATCTGAGATTTAAATATATAATAAAGAATCTAAATAATTAATTATTTTTTTTTAATAATGATGATACAATATATAAAAGAATATCTTTAATTAATCAATAGATAGTTTTTTTTATTGAACTTATTATTTCTTGTATAATATTTAAATTCTCAATAATTTTATTATTTAAGGTATTATTTTCTTTAAAATATTTTTGTAAAAATTTAAATTAATTAAATTAATTAGAATAAATTCTGCTATTTGATTATTAATTTGTTGTTATGTTATAAAAATAGTCTTACTCTTGGTAAATTATATATAATTGCAGCTAGTAATCTATATATATTTTGTGATACTCTACAAATATCCATTGCTTATATAACTGCTTATTTTCATAATTTACTATTTTTAAAATTACTTGACTCTTTATAATTAATATGAAATCATTGTAAATCTACTAAAAAAAACTAACTTTTTTAAAGATATATTATTATTATTATTATTAAATATTTCTAATGCTTATTTTTTAAACAATTCTAATATTTGATTTCTAAATGTTTTGCTATATTTTATTTGCATTGAGTTACCAAAATCTTTAAATAATTTATGTTTATTTGATATATATTTTTTATTTTAATTTTTGCTAATTTGCTCTACTTGTAACCCAAAGTAATATACTTTATTTAGTTTAGTCTTTTTTTTATCAGATTTTTACCAATAAATTTTCTATATTAATAGAAACTAATTCATAATATTGTTAAATATAAATATTTTCAATATTTGATGTATTTTTTTGATATAACAATTTCAATACTATTATCAAATAAAAATTTAATTTTAAATACTGACATATTGTCCTCATATTGAATTGAGCATGTTATAGTTCATTGTAATTTGCCTCTTCCATAAGTTGTTTCAACTATATAATTAGGAAGAATTCTATATTGATTTGGTTTTTTCATATATGCAAAATCTCTTTACTTGGATATATTCCTTCTTGAATAATTTTATAAGTAAATATATTTACTTGATGTTTTTACTGTAATTATAGAGCTTTTAGAATAGTTATTTGTTTTAAATATATTATTTACTATACTTAATTAAAAGTAAAAAAAATTAATGATCGCTAATTTTTTTTAAAAAAATACCTATATAATTATTTTTTATTTTACTTGGGTAATCATTATTAACTAAAGCATCTGCATTAATGACGTTTACTGATTATAGTATGATTAATGTCAAATGACATGACTTACTCTAAATCAAATAATAAAAATTTTATGATGATTTCACAAATCCGCTGATATATCAATCTTCGTTATGACCAAATGACATATGACGATATATAGGTCATTTAAGGTCATAGGCCAACACTGAATTATTACTGGTTTTTTATAGCATATTAATTGAGGCTTAAACTGTGCATCTTAAATTGGTAATAACTTCGGTTACTAAGAAACTTGAAACTATAGTTTCTATGAAACTAACGTTTCAACTTCGAAACTGTGATTTCTTAATGGTCCTATACATCCAATTTTCTTGGTAGCCGAAGTTACTAAGCCTTAAATAATATGTTATGGGGAACCCGCAACACTATATAGTAATTTCAGAACCGCCAACCTAAAAGTAATAAAAAATAACAGTCACGAATAATAAAAAAAGCATAATTAAAATTGTGTGGGCGCAGTAAGGGCTAGCCAAAATTAAGCCCTTGGAATTAGGTCTGGCAAGTATACACTATTTGAAAGAGTCACATATTTTCACTCGTTAAAAATAGTCAATATGCATTATATTGTAATTAACCTTTTTTAAACCCATTCATACTTTTATATGATTGCATGTTTCTAATCAAATAGGCTTAGACTTCTGTTTTATATAATTCGCATTTTTTCATTGTATTTTGCATTTTTTCATTTCATGAAGTCACAATTTTGATTGAATACGTCAAACATAAATATCCCGAAATAAAAATATTGATGTAAATTAGCCAATCACATGAATGTTTATAAACCAATACGTAGTACTTATAAATAGCTTTATGATTTTGTGCAATAAATCTTGCAGCTATGAAAATTGCACGAATCATACATACCAAAAAAAGAAATCTAATATAAAAATATACCAAATGCAAATTTAGAAGCTATCATTTAAGATGTACAAAATTTCATTCCCTCATTTTTAATTAGTCTTCCAAGGTTGGTTCCAATATTAATTTTTTTCTCAGATTTTATGCCAAGGCTGATCCTGAATAATCAAATTTGAGTTGATTGATTGCATTACGAAAATAACAGATAACTAAAATTGCAGAACGTACGTACTTTATAAACGAGCACGGATGTACGAACTGTACAACTGTACATACAAATCTGCCGTGGCAACACCCTAATACCTGTGTAACATACGATCAGCTTAGTCGAAAGGGCGGTTAGATATGACCGGTTTATTGAGTTCGTAGATTAACAGACCTTAGACTCGATATTTTGTGTTTCTTTAATATTTTATTTATGTATCTCTCTTATAAATATTTGAACTATTGCTTGAATTTATCACTCAAAACCAAACTAGAACTTCACAATAAACATAACTATCCCAATACATGAATCATGAGGAATGTCTTTTATTATAATAGTTACAATCTTAATAACCACTTTTTAAGCACAATATGTATAATAAAACTTTTATGATTTATTTCTACTCATACTCCTTAAAACTCTAAAGATTGACAGAAATTACGTGCTTGCCCACTATCAAAACCTTATAAAGTCATTTTTCTCTTTTTTTCAAAATTTCAAATACCTTATGGTCATGAGAGAAGTTTTTCAAGTTCTCGACACAACCAGACAACGATATGCATGCTGCTGTAGTGATCCAAATAAATCCATGGTTTTTGTGCGGCATAAAATTGTAGAACAAATTACTTCATCCTTATCAAAAATAATCGCAAAACGAATTGTTATTGGAATCATAAATTTAGCATATCTTATAAAATTCACAGTTTGATTATGTTATATGGAAATTTAACCTTTAAAAAAATTTTTTGGATTGTGTACAAACTTAATTGATCAGTATAAATTGTAGTAGAGCTATAAAAAGAGGTACATACTTGTGTTTCAGAGATTTAATAATAGCTACATTATTGATATTTCCCATATTACTGAATGGAATGTTTTTGGTAAAATTATTATCTGATAAAAATATTATGGACTATCGCTATTATTGTACATATCAAATACAGGTTGATAAATTTAGAATAAAGTTACAATTCTTTTTTTTTTTTTTTATAGTGATAGTGAATTTTTACACGTAAAGAGTTTTTTACAGATTATTATCGTTATTCTAATTCGATTTAATTAATTTAATTCTTATAACACTTCAAATATATAATACGCCCATTAAACTATCCCCCATGATCTAAAAAAACATATATATACTTAGATACATACGAAGAGTAAACTTGAATAATTTTTGCAACTTAAATATAAATCTCCATTGTAGTCTCAATTATAACAAAATGATTAACGCATTAGTTATAATCCCATTAGTAATAGGAATAGTAATATTTTATGGTTTACTTTACTACTACTACAAAGATGGGCTTAAAGCACTTTTGTCCCTTCTTATAATATTAAGTTCCGTTTGCTTTTTTATATACAGTATTTTCTTGTACTTATTACTTTGATCGTTCCCAATAGTTATATTGTCAACGATCTACAAAAGAGTAAAAACATTTTATTTAGTCTTCCAAAATATAATTCTACTTCTGGAGGATTTGAATGTGATGCAGGAACTTCTGAAAGTTCCAGAATTTCGCATACCACCATTTTTGAACAAATTTCAGGATTTGGATCTCTCATTGGATTAATTTTTAATGTTACATTTTATGGTGTAACCTCTAAATTCAAATTAAGAACAACTTATATTATTGATGATTTATTGATTCTTATATCTTTTATTACTCCTATCACTTCATGGTTCTTTAGCACTAAAATCCTTTATACTTTCTTTTATGTTAGAAATGGTCAACCTCAACCTCTACTTATAGCTTCTGTTTCAGTTTTTGTATTATTTTTTTTAATTACTTTTTTATGCATAATCTATTTAGTATGTGGTTTTCACCACATAAAATTATACTCATTCCCATTCAAAAAACCAAATTACGATCATCTTAAAACTTTCATTGTAATTATTTGTTTTGCGAATTCATTTATTATTCCTATTTATGATGCGTTAAACATCATTTACAATATAGTTCCTCAAGTAGGCACTAATATACTTGGTACAAATGCTATTCTTAATTTGGAATTTTTAAATTTGTTGGCTGATTTCATTTATTTATGTTTATTGTTAGACCCGAAACACGTGATCCACAAGTGGCCGATTTCGTCATGGGATCTTCGCCGTACGACCTCAAGTCAC